AATGAGGAATCTTGGAACTAGAGATATGGAGCTAAGAGTGGACTCTTTTGGCATTTGGCCTAGCTTGAGGACTCAAAACCTAGAAGATGCATTTATGGAAGAATCCTGTGTCCGAGTTGGAGATACAGGCTGAGCAAATGAGGGAACAAGAAAAATGCAGAAGTTTAACATCCCTCTTTGAAAGGACTGGAGTCCATGAGGCCTTTGAAACTTGTAGAAAGTGAGATGAACCCCAGTCCTCTAACCGGTACTGCTTTGTTAAACCTACCTGATTCTGAATCAAAGGACATTGTTATCTAGAGTGAGCTGGGTCCAAAAAGCTTGTCAAAGTGGTAACTGGCTTAGTTGGATAACTGTCTGTCTTGGTGGATGGGAGGGCTGTCTGAGAAGCACCTGAATACACAGCTCCCCAAATAACAGAAGCACCTTATGAGACAGTTCAAGGGGCCAAAGAATTAAAGGACAATGTGATACTCCTTGCTTCAATTTTCATAGTCCAAGCAGCTGCTAATACCAAGGGTGAAGTGCTGGCCTCTGTTCAAGGCAGGGAAGCAAAGAAGCACGGGCACTCCTCAGCACTAACCCTCACCTTACCCAGCTTTACCCTACTCCACTGGCACTTCAAGAAGAAATTAAGGTACCTGCTACCTCTAAAAGAGAGCAAATCATTATTTTCAACTGTCTTGGAAATTGGACCAGTGTGGGGATTTTGTCCCAGCCCAGACATCTTGTAAAAAGAACAAAAATAAAGAATGCAATACAAATAAACTGCATCCTGTGTCATATGTGTCATCAGTAATATATACATTGAGATAGTACTTATTGGAAAAACTATTGGATTTGTTTTGGTGATCTTTGGAGTATGGCCCCTTACTAGATAAGAAAGTAGTGGTCTAGGAGAGGTTAGGAAAGCAGGTCTGCAACCAGTATCACCCCTCTGGATTTTCATCCTGCCCTGTTCTAGCTGTGCATCTGGCCAACTCGTTTGGAATGAGGCCATCCACTGCCTTAGGTTATGGTGTGGATAAAATGAAATCACACTCAGCATTTGCAGAATACTGCACCCTACATGTCAAGCACCATCAATATCACCTGCAGAAAGCCTAGGTAACATAGATCTTTCAATATTAGGATTCACCAGTATAACCAGAATCTGAAACTATTATGGTTTTTTTTTTTAAAAAAAAAACTTATGATTTTGGATAGATTAAGAAGAAATGACAAAGGAATTCAAGAAAGGTATCAAGGAGAATGAAAACTGATTAATTTTCTTAATTTGTTTCCTAGAAATCAGTGGATTTTAGAAAAGAAGTCACAGGTAGTGTTTTTTTTTTTTGTTGTTGTTGTTTTTTGTTGTTTTTTTTTTTTTTTTTGTTGTTGTTTTTTTTTTTTTTTTTGTTGTTGTTTTTTTTTTTTTTTTTGTTGTTGTTTTTTTTTTTTTTTTTGTTGTTGTTTTTTTTTTTTTTTTTGTTGTTGTTTTTTTTTTTTTTTTTGTTGTTGTTGTTTTTTGTTGTTTTTTTTTTTGTATTGGGTATAGAGCTCAGGCCACTGAGCTAACTCCTGGACCTCATTAGGTGGTGATCTTTAAAAGATTTAAGCATGCCCAGTCTTTGCTTTGTATGTAACTATTTTGCTTATCAGCCTCTATGCTTTTTGAGCAATTCTAGTTTATATTATAAAAATGAGCACTTCCTTAGATTATTTGATTCAGAAACATGTTTATTTCACTACATCCATTCAGCAGGACACTAAAAGTGATTTTTTTAAAAAGTCAGAAAAACAATGCAAAAAAAAAGTCAGAAAAAGTCATCTAATTTCATTCCAGTAAGCACCTCACACACTTTTAATTTTTTAATTGTGGTAAACACATTCAATTTACCATATTATCCATGGAGCACAGCTCAGTAGTGTTGTCTGTTCACAAATTTTGTGCAACACATCTCTAGAACTCTGTACCTACTGAAGGACCAGTTTCCTTTCCTGTAGTCCCAGAACCATTCTGTTTCTATAAATTTAACTATTCTAGGTACCTTGTGGTGTAATCATAAAGTGTATTCCTTCCACAACTAGTTTCCTTCAGTCAGCATGCTGTCAACTTTCATCCATGTTTTAGTACACCTTAGAAGTTCGCTGCTTTTTAAGGCTAAATATTCCATGGTATGTATATACCACTTTTGCTTATCATCCACCCAGCCATGGGTGATGTGAGCTATTTCCACCTTTTGGCTATTGTGAAAAATGCCATAGTCATGGGAAAACTGATCTCTTCTAAGTCTTTTCAACTCTTTTGAATACTCAGAAGTGGAACTGCCATATTACATAATTCTGAAGAACTTGCACACCATTCTCATAGTGGTGGCAAAATTTTACATTCCCACCAACAGCGCACAATATTCCAATGTCTGACAATTTTGCCAACACATACTTTGGTCTTTTGACTATAATCAACCTCATGGGTAAAAAGTGATATGCACTATAATGGGGTTTGCATTTCTCCAACGATTAGTAAATGTGAGCATATTTCTTATGTGCTTGTCATTTTTATATATAATGTCTTAGGGAAAATACCTTCTCAGGTCCTTTGCCCATTTTTAAATTAGATTGTTTTAGTGCCCTTGAGTGTTCTTTACATATTCTAGATATAAATCCCTGATCACATATACAACTTGAAATTTTTTTTTGTAGACTGAATTTTCATCCTATTGTGTTCTTCTAAATGTGTAGTTTCTAAATTTGACACAATCTCATCTGCCTACTTTTATTGTTGTCTGTATTTGGTGTCATAATCAATAAATCACTGTCAATTCCAAAGTCATAAAACCTTTTCCGATTTCTTCCAGAAATTTTACTTTTTGTTTGATCTTCATTCATTGTGAGCTAATTTTCACATACATATTGTATAAAAATCCACACAACTTTTCTTCAATCCACCTGTTGGTCTACAAAACAGGTTTTTGTTTTGTTCTGTTTTGTTTTCCCAGCACTGTCACACAAATATGCAGATAAAGCTCAAAGGCCCAGGAAATCTGGCTTTCCCAGAGGTAATATTCCCACTCTAATAATTGCTTTCTCCTTAAAATGTTTCCACCAGCTTAAACCACTGGTGATACAAGGAAATTTTTGTATCACTCCTTGGAGAAAAAAAATTTACTTGAACAGGGTATTTGTGGTCTTTTTTCATTCCACTTATATTTTGCTGCAAAAATTTTGATGTTTCATGAAGGTGTTGCCCCCAGCTCCATATAACTGAACACCTCATTCTCCTAAAAATTTGAAATATTCTGAATTCAGAAACTCATCCATCCCTGAGATTTTAAGAAGGCAAGTTTCCTGATTATAGTATTACTTTCTGAAAAACAGTTCTTTTATTTCCCAGTAACATAAAAGTCTCTATTTCAACCTGATATTTTGTCTCAAATGAAAATAAAAGGGAGTCTGTAAATTTCTAATAAAGCTTGGTGGATGTGGGTTGTGGGACAGCAGGCAGGTCTTGTGGATAAAGTCTCGTGAGTGCTTATTTAACCTTAACTACTTCAGCTCAATCTTGTAGATTTACTGATGGCATCACAGTAGTAAGCAGCTTGGAAAGCACCTTGTTCCAGTTTTCTGTAGCTCTTACCTAGACCATATAATGTAACTAAAGGAGGTCCAGTCAAGACTCGTTAGTATCAATGTCCAGTGAAACAATAACTTTTTTGGTAACTTCCTTGTTTTTTGTTTAGATCTGCGGTTTTTATTTTTAAATCTATACAACCAGATCCCTAGGAAGTACTCTGAGGCACTTTTAGGGGACGAGTTGGCAGAGCGCCTTGGGGAAACAAATGCACGCTGGCCTTGCGCAAAGCTATTTGGTAACAGGAGTTGGCGTCCTTTAGACAAACCCGCTGCCGCCACCCCCATTCTTTTTGGGATGCACCCCCCCTGGGGTTCACAGCCAGTGCTTGTGTGGGTAACACCTTCTTCTCCAGTCGTCCTGTAATCTCGTCCACGCGTTCGGTTTTGTTTGAAGAGATTAAGTGCCCGCGAAGCCGACCTTGTTCCGACTTCCCCACGACATGTATGTCCAATGGATCTCCTGACAGGCAGGCGGAGCGCCCGCGCAGTCCCAGGCTGGAGGTTGTCAAATGCCCGCAGACTCTAAGGAAAGAACGAGCGAGGTAGGTACACCGCAAAGAACAGCACCACTGCCCCAATTGCGGCAAAACGCAGCCCGCGTTGCCCGAAGTCTCGCGAAGCCGGTATTGGCGTGTGCGACACGCGTCCAGGAATAACTGCCCCGTTGCTTGTCGGGACTCGTAGTCTCACGTCGTTGAAATACTCAATACTCGAAGGGATCTGACAGTAACTACTGTTGCATAACGGGACCCGTAGTTTCACGACGTCGGAAGTCGCGGGGCGCTACAAGAATCCTCACAGTGAGCTGCATTGCATGTCGGGACTCGTAGTCTCACACCCTGGGCTCGTAGGGCACGACGAATTCCTGTGATTGTAGCATGCGTCACAGGCTCAGACTCACAATAAAGCTGTTCCACGTCCTGCCCTACAGGTGTGGCCCAGCGCCTACGTACACGCGTGGAACTCGGTGTTT